GTGCATACTACCTACCACCTACTAGCGACGGCCTCCAACCTTAGGCGCTGGCCTCCAACTTCCTTGCAATGGCCTCCAACCTAAAAGCGATGGCCTTTAACTTACTACTTGTTCTCCTGGTATCTCAGGTTTTTTAAACTCAGGCCGGCGTGTGGCACCGCATTCACATCAGTACGCAATTCAATAAGTGTGTGTGTGTGTCGCATAGGTTGGCCAAGTTTTGTCGCGGTGTGGATGTTGAACTGTTGGCTGTATAAAGGTGCCTCAATATGCCATGCTCAGTGTGGCATTGTGTCAGTATATACTTTGAGGCCTGCAATTCATGACATAGTCCTGCAACTTGGGTTGGGTGGCGTATGGTGTATGCTTTGCTGTTGCTGCGCAGGTGGGCTGGGTAGAGTCCTAATTCTCTTGGCATGGCAGGGCTTGAAAGAACGCTGGGACAATTGTCATCGAAGAGTGTCAAGCTGCAAGTTGTGAACAACATGATGGGCAAACGAGGTGGGCGCCCGCGACCTGCAATCAATACGTTAACAAAACGCCGAGACTCCTCACTCTCAGTCTGCATTGAGCTGATGGCCCACCTCCCACCCCAATTAGATCACACCCTCAATCGATGAGGATGAATTGACAATGAACAGTGTCTTTATCAGTGACCAATGTGACCCTGACCACGTGGTGAAGTTGATCACAATGTGGTGAAATCGACCGCGAGGTTTTGCCTTGGATAATGTTATGAGGCCAAATGACAAGGTATTGGTACCGATGAAAATGCTGAGTTCCGGGCAACCCCCCCCCGTTGATCCGACATGTTGCATGGGGGATGCATCGGTGCGTTGCATATCAATACAAAGGACTATATAATTGTATGTTAAAGGCGAGAAAATTTCAAATGAGTGTTGTGAAAGATTGATTGGGAAGCCCTTTCTGAACTGGCAATCTCCAAATCTTACTTTAATGCTCCCGACCTTCTTGGACACAATTGTTTGTGGGCATTCTAGAAAGGAGCACTCTGAGGGCCCGTGCTGAAGCCCAGGCCTATTGGAAGCAGCCGACATCAAATCATGTCATGGACCAAAGGGATAGAAAACTGATTAGGATCATTAGGCAAGCGAAACAGTTGCCGGACGGGTATGCTTCTTCTTTTCTTGCATCCTGATCCACATGAAATATTAAAGCTCTGAGGTTGCCACCACCTTGATGGCGGCCTCCAGCTTGGCCTCCTGGAGCTGGAACAAGCCGTGAACACCTCTTCTTTGTTTTATAACAATATTGGTGTCGTGTCTCTGAAATTCCTTTGCCCGCTTTTTTCGCATTGGTTTTTTTTCTCTCTCTCTCTCTCTCTATCTATCGATCTTTCTTTCGTTATGTATTTATTTTCTTTATTTCTAGTATTTTCTTTCTTTATTCATTTATTTCTTTCTTTCCTTCCCTTCCCTTCCTTTCCTTTCCTTTCCTTCCTTTCCTTCCTTCCTTCCTTCCTTCCTTTCTTTCTTCCTTTCTTCCTTTCTTCCTTTCCTTTCCTTTCCTTTCCTTTCCTTTTCTTCTTTCTTGCTTCTGTATCTATCTCTCTATCTCTATGGCTCTCTCTGTGCAGAGTCTGGCTGTGACCCACTGACTGTGAAAAGGGCTTGCAAAAGCGCGCGTGACGTAGCGGGCACAAACTGTTTAGCAACCCCTTTATCTGCAATTTTTGCAAATTCGCCTGGATGCCGCAGCTCTGCAATAGGCTGATGACGTCAGAGCCCCTTCTGGACCTTGTTTTGACCATCATTGTCCACTGCTCAAATTTTCTCCAAGCGGAAACGAACCAAAGCACCGCGAGAAAGTTAAAAGAATAGCTTCTTGGCTACTCCCTTTTCTATTTGCATTCTCATCTATCCTCATCTCACTGGCTGGTTGTTCTCTTTTG